TATGAAAGCCCTCTCTCTTAGGATGCTATCTTCATGTGGTTAATGAGTGTTTTGTATCACAGACAGATATGAACCTGTATTAAATGTTTATAATAGTATTTCACACATAGTAGGTACATAATAAATATTTTACAGGAATAAGTAAAAGGAAAGAATGTAGAAAAGGGAGATGGAAGAAAAAAGAGGAAGAAAGAACAGGAAAGGAAAGAAAAGAAAAAAAGAAAAGGAAAGAAAGTAAGGGAGGGAGAGACTGAAGTCTTTCACAAAGCTGTTCCATGTAACCTCTAAAGAAATGAGCAGGGTCAGTTGTTTGAAGCAAACTTATTCATGAAAATGTAAATTTGAACAAAGAATATGTTGAAAGGTGATTTTTCCACTTTACAAAATGATCCATCATGGGATTCTTTAAACAGACTACCTGGGTACACATAAAATAAAATTTTATTGATCAAAACCATATGTGTGCTCAGAATTTTTCAGCTAAGAGTCTTTTATTCAAAGCCAGGCTAACCTATAAGCAGTTTCCTTGAGGCACCTGGCCTACAATGACCAACTCTTAGATTTCTAAGGCAGCAGATATAGAAGCTAGGAATGCAAGGGCTGTTCCAAAACCTCCATCATGCAAAGCAGCGATCCCAGCCAGTCCAGCACTTCATGACTCTTCTCACAAAATAGCTAAAGGGTAGATGAACATCACAAACTCTTCTTTCTGTGTCCCAGATAAGATTCTGTGAAATGGCCTCCCACAGGGATGCTGTGGAAAAGAAATAGCAAATTGATGCTTTCTTCCTCACTGGCTCAAGGCTTGCTGCTTCTTCTGTCACAGAAGACAAAGTCATGTGACTGCAGAGCTGGAAAGAGAAATCAGCATAGGTAAAATGCAGCTCACCTTGTGGGGTTTGGTTTCTTCATTTAGACAAGGTGGGACCTTATCAGGACCATTATTTCCTAATTCTGTCCCCAAGCCACCACTCCCCATCCACTGTGAATCACGGTGATCTACAACCCTTCACTCTCATGAGAGGATTGTTGCAGCTATGTCTGCCTTTTGTCTTGAGTAGAAGACTTAAAGAGAATGGACTTTAAATGAAATATTTAAAATTGTTGTGGAACTGGCTGATTTAATAGACAGTTCTTAATTTAAAAAAGAAAGACAGACTTTGCAGAAGTTAAAACTAACAGTAAAACATACTTGGTTGTGGTGGGAACCAAGCAGGCTATTATGAATTGCCAATTGAGTGAAATAGTTTAGATACCAAAGAAAAACTGTGCCTGGGGTGTGATGAGAACCAGGAAGTAAACAGGGACCAGGTTACTTTTACCCTTCAAACACAAGGCTGCTTTTATCTCAGAAAATGTGAAACCTCCAAATTTTTAATAAAATACAGGATGTGGGTGGAGGGGAGCAAGCTTATAGTTTTGGCAACATTCTGTTCTCATCGACTTGCCAAGGCATTTTTTCTACCCTCGCTCCCCAAAGTTTTGAATTTTTCTGTCCAAATGTTATTATATTCAATAGCATCTCGACAGAAGAATTCTTTATCTACCTGATGTACGAAGATACTAAGCTCTCTTGTGAATTCATTTAGAGTAAGAGTGATCCCTTAGCCTCTTCTGAGTACTGTCTAGAAAGCTACAGAATCTATTCATGGAAATCTTATTTAGATGTCTTCTGCTCTGTAGGTTACAGTGAGGTCTTGAATATATCAGCAATTCTGAATTACATAAAAAAGTTGACGTTCTTATATTTTTGTCTGCATTTTTTTTTTTGCTTAGTTTCCTAGCTACTTCTATAAATGATACCAGGTCATCCCTTCAGTGAAGAACAGGAATGAATTGAGAAATGGACCAGAATAGGAAGAAAGAGGGGGGATGAAAATATGGAGAATAAGTCAGTGGAGCGCTGAGCCACAAATGGGACATCTATTTCACACCACCTCCATAAGGTCAGGAAATATCATGGAAGAAGAGGCAGAACCATTTTAAGAGCCACTGAAGGCCTAAAATCAGCCATAGGCCTAAAATCAGCATTAGGCCTGTCATATATGTATACTAACACCAAGTCTTGGGTCTCTATGGAAAAACATTGAAACAGATGGCTATAAGCTAGTGTAAACAGGCAGCTTTCGTGGAAATTTACCAGCCTGAGTAGTCATAGACCTTGTAAATAGGTAGCCTTGGCAGACAATACCAACTTAGATAAGGACAAGTGAGTCATAGGCAGAGTCATAGTGACTTGTCCCCTGAACCTTCATCCAGCTGATACCCTGTTCTGAAAGCTATCTGTATTCCCCCTGAACACCCACGCTCCAGTGACATCCCCTTCCTCATGTCCTGCCTTTCTGTGTTTATTACCCCTGTGTGAATGAATTATGATTTGAAAAAATAAATAAATTATTTAAAAAAAAAAGAGCCACAGCTGGGCAAGACTGGAGTAAGACAGCATCTTCTGAGAATAACTGGACCACTGAGCTCATGCACTGACAGCAGTTATGGTTGCCTACATAAGACCTGAACAAAATCAAGACAGTCAATATTCTAGTGTGAGGAGGCAGGGCTCTGTAAGCCTGCACTTCTACCTGAGAACTTGAATCCATGGACAGCTGATGGCTTCTAGGGGAGAAACAGTTTTCTGTAAGTGTGGCTCCTGGTTGGTTGGCCACCCTCCAATGGATTGCCACCTATGAGTATATGAACAGCACAAGTTAGTATCAATGACTTATAAGAAAGTAAATGTGTAAGAGTAATTTTTATTTTCCTGAGTGATCATTCTCTCCGGGGCTTACTGCCCCGCTCTGCTAACCTAGCACTAGTCCTAGAAGCTTTTAGCCTCTGTACAGTCTTATCTAGGCCTAGAATGTTTTCAGCCTCTGAGACTTAACTGCTGAATAAGTTCATTCCTTCTAGTTCTTTCTGATCTCTAGCTGACTGATTCAACTCAGCTGTTCTTCAAGCTGACTGATTCAATCTAGCTTCTCTCAGTTTCTTACCAAATGGCTCTGCTTGGCCTCATACAAACTTTGGCAATAGTTCTAATCTTCTGACTCCTTCTCATTCTCTGGTTTGTTCTCTCTTCACCTGTGTCTAGCTTGTTTTCTCTGAGACAAGTCTCTGTAAAACTGTCCCAGTAAAACTCCCCCTGTAAAATCTGCCTCCTTCTTCTCTGTACTGCCCCTTATGTAGCTTCCTTTTTCCATCTCTTCTCTTGAAAGTTAGACATATCCTATTTTGTCAACTCTTTCTCTGATTTGTCACTTTGTCTGACACTCAACTAGACATCACTTTCAAACACGCATGCTTCCTTCTACAAACTAACTTTGTTTTCACTGTGATTAAAGGTATCTGCTAAGGGCTAAGACACACCACAGCTATAAACAGGGTTTTATTCCAGCAAATAACACAATCTCAGGGTTCATGGTGTAATTAAATATCGAAAGAGAGAGAGAGAGAGAGAGAGAGAGAGAGAGAGAGAGAGAGAGAGACTCTAGAGCTAACTAATTAAACTAAAGCTGACAATTGACCAAAGTCTCAGGAAGAACTGAACATGGAAAGAAAATTATGATAGTAGATGAGTGTGGCTACGGGGAGTTTGTGAGAAAAGACTGGTTAACTGAACTTGTAGGTTGAAAAGTAGGGAGAAGAACCAAGACTGTCTCTGCAGACTATGCCATGCTGGCAGCAGGCTTATTAACCTGAGCCATGAGCCTCCCAGCTGTGATCTTCCATTACTCTTTGTTTACAGCATTTTCCATGACTGAAACACACTCCAAGAGGAGTTCCAAAGAAGACAAACAAGAGCTCATTTTGTGAATTTTTTAAAAATTAATATTCTAGTTGGAGAGACTACAAGTCCACCTTCAAATTTTATGTCACATCTTCACATAAAGAGATTCTGTCAGGATCTCATTGTGTGTGTATCAGGAGGGCAGGGGAAGAAAGCTAACCCAAGCACAACAAAATTGTAAGATCCCCAAGTTGTAAATAGGTACATAGATGAATGGATAGATGGCTGGCTGGATGGCTGGATACATGAACAGATGGATAGACAGATGGACAACCAGACAGTCAGATACTATATGGGAGCTAAAGTAAATGGTTAAAATTTGCTACTATTTAATACAAGGGGAATAAATACTTAAAGGTTTAAGAAGAACCTATGTGCATTGTGGAGGGACTTTCCTCTTGATCACTTCATTCATGTCACCTGTCACATTAAGGACAGGATGGGTCCAGTAATAGTTCAGCCACAGCCTTATTTCATTTCGAATGTGCTGGTTTCATTTTTCTACATATGCTGAGGAAATGTGATGCTCTTGTAATGTACCATGGTTGCTGCTATGTACATTTAGCTACAGATGGAACAGATGTGCTAAACACACTAACATAGAACAAGTTGGGAATTGGAGGCTGTATTATAGAATAAATGTGACCTGGAAGAAAGAGAATAGCACACCATGTAGACACATTCTAATCCCAGGCCTGGACAGAACCAGTGGGAATTGTATGTCAGTGCACACCCCACTGTGCTCCATTTACCTTGGAGCTTTTGAGTCAAAGGAACACATTAAAATGAGACTTCAGTAAGGTCTTTTGTTACCTGTAATTACATAATCTCATGTATTTTTACCTTAAAATGGCAATGGACTACAGTTCTAGAGGGTCTCATTAGAAAATTGTTCAGTTTTTAGTCACAAATGAATGATAATCATTCTGTTTTTTAATTCCTCATTGAATTAATAGTCAAAATGATTCACTTTTAATCGCATAGTGTTATTCCTGATACAAAATAAGCATGTGAATAAAAAGAGGAAAGAAAGGAGAGAAAGGATTTAGCAACTGTGTTATTTTTCTGCTTTTGTAATCTTATTTGACTTCTGATGTATGCCGGTGTTCTTGTGTTATTTAGAATAAAGAATTGTAGCAGGTTAAGCACATGTCATCCGTATCTTACATTTGCTAAAAGAAAAGTCTGAATTGTGAACTTTGTCCTTGCCTTCTAGATTTGGAAAGAAGAAAGATGATAAGGTCGGGAAGGCTGAGCAGAAAGGTATGCAGAAGTCTGGGCACCCGGGAGAAGAAGAGCTGGAAAGAATGAAAGAAGAAAAGGAGAGGTAAAAAAAAACCCAGAGCCCTCTGTTTATGGACCACAGAATCTGTGTTTAAGTTACCAACTTCCACTAATCAACCAGAGGGATTTTAGTCTAAGAAGCATACCAGTGAACTGAGGCCTCTCTGACAAAGCAATCCACCTTGCCAGGGAACCTTCATCATATTTATGAGAAGAAATCATAGCCATGTCTTCATCTTGTCAGAACCTACAGTCCCATTATATGTCTTTTGGTTCTGACTCCTTCCGTGCACATTTTCCCACGGCTTAAAGAATGATATTTTTCCTCTGCTAATCCAAAGGTCATTTTGATATTGATGTTTAGACTCTCAAGTTCCCCTAGTCTGTTCCTCATTTTTGACAGCCTGCTACATGCCTTTCCTAATTATATTCTGCTAACTCCATTTGGTCATGTAATTTGAGTACATGTCCCCTGTCCTCCATTTTTCAAAAGCTACTGTCTTTTATTAGGCTATCAGCAAGCTGAAAACATGCTGCCCATCTGCAGAAGGGCTAGTTTCATCAACAACAGTAATGGCAGTTCGTGAGGGATGAGTGCTCCTGCTAGGGGAGCATCATGTTCCATCGGGACAAGAGGTCCTTCATACATCTTTGATGTAAACTCTGGCACTTCTCCCACATAAATGTGAAAATGTCTGATTTTAAAACATGCAATTGAATATTCCTATGTCTTCTGAAAATTCTTTACCTTCTGAACAAAATGAACCTCAGAGAAAGACTAAGATGAGACAGGGCTAGATCTAATTTTATGTATTTGTGATTTCTCAGGGAAAATCAAATGTATCTAATTTTTCACTTGTTAGCTAAGTTTATCCTTGTGGGTTTTGTATGTTTGTTTGTGTGTGTGTGTGTGTGTGTTTTAGTGTCCATTCTTATATCTTATCACTGTAGCATATGTACTCAAGAAAAATACATTTGTTCATTGTGTTTTCTAGCACACAGCAGTCTAAAGTATCTCTGGTTAACCTTTACCCCATCTTGTACACAATTTTAATTGAGAAGGCTGACTTTACCAATAAGAAGGGGAGATACTATTTAGCTCTTTCTCATTTCTGAGAAGTTGAAAGCTCTGCTTCCAGGGTCACCAGAAGAGTTAAAAGGAAATCAAGTGTTCTACATTGACATTGACTATTCACCTGACAGAGCTCCCCTAAAGACAAGAAAGGTTTACCTCATCATAGGCCAGGATGCAGAAATCCTGCAATGTAAATGTAATTCCAGCCCAGACTTCAGTGCATGCACTGGCAGAGACATCTGCACTGTGAGCCTGCATCATAGACCTTTGCAGGTCCCCTGACTTCATTTATTGAGACTGCCCCCATGCCTCATCTTTGGGAATCTGAGCTGTTTTCAAGAATGCAGACTGGACATTTTTTGCAGTTCATTGCTTGCTTGAGACAGGGGTAAAATCTCCCAGTAGCAAGTGGACTGTGTGCCAGCTAGAAAATTGATAACTCATAAAATAAGGTGGGCTGCCTTTAGCAAGAGTTCATTTCCTTTCTGGTTTTGCCTTTAGGAAGCAGGTGCCTGAGGGAGTTTTGTTCTTAAAAGCAAAGCTGTAAATTTGCCTCAGCTGACTATATAGGCTTCAGGTCCAATATTCTTAAAATATGTCTGGTGAAAATATTGAAAGGGCTGTACTATTAGCCGGCACTTAAGCAACCCTGCACACATGAACACATAAAACAGATCCAATATGAGTTTCCTTCAGACAACCATGTCTCAATCAGGTACTGAAGAAGAAGTTGATGGAGCTGATTTTAGGGTTAGGTGCTATAGAATTAATGGCCAAGGCATTTCAACACTCACAGATTGAGGACCATTGAGGGTGGAGATGGAGGCTGAACATGTGGTATTGTTCCCAACCCTGGAGTACTGCTTTTTTGGCTGTTCATCATCCATAGGAAACCAATTTACAGCTCTCATGGATCTCAGCAAGTGTGCCACTCTTTATGGAGAGTTACCATGGAGGAAAAATGAAAGTAGAAAATATTGATAAATGTTATTATTGTCCCATTTGGTTGATATAATCAAAATTTGTTTCCTTGAAATGAGTCTAACTATCTTATTGCTTACTAATTCTGTTTTTTTCATTAGCCATTTTCAAAGAAAAAAATGCCAGTAAATAAAGTACATAGTGTATAACATTAGAGATAGCAGTTATCAGAACCAATTTTTAAGCTTTCAGGAATTTTGTGAGCTGGTTTGGCCATTAGGTCTTTGAAATGAGTGCACCAATATTATAAATTACTTTTAAAATGGATTTTTTGAGAAGCCAGTTTACTAACATACTAATGAAAGTCTAAATCAACTTCCTTCATTGTATAACCAAAAAGATATTACCAAAATACAGACAGGAAAAAAATTAAAAATATATGGTTTAAACCATAAAATATGGCCTGTGGATCGTATCCAACTGATTCACTAGAAGGGTTTGCTGAAAATGAAAATCCGTGAGCCCTACCTCACTCTGAAGAATCTAAATCTTGGGAGCAGCCATCCTGGAATCATTGTTTATTCAATAGATAAATCGGAAGTGACACTTCAACTTCCTCAAACCTGAGAAACACTGTTTTGGAGGAATAGGATACAGCTAGAACATCAGGTCTTATTTTATGAAAAATGATACACAGAAATTTTTCCTATTAAGACAGAGTGGCCTAGACTACAAATACCATCACCTTCCTTCACGAGCCCTCTCTGAAGCATCCTACCTAGCTGATGTTCCATGACGTGTGAAGAGTCCTTCTCAGCGCACCCAGCCCAGGATGAGTCGTAGGCTCTAGAGCTGTAGTTCTCAACCTTCCTAATGCTATGGCCCTTTAATACAGTTCCTTGTGTTGTAGTGATCCCTAACCATTAAATTATTTCATTGCTACTTCATGACTGTAATTGTGATACTGTTGTGAATAATAATATAAATATCGGTGTTTCTGGTGGTCTTAGGGGGCCCCATGAAAGAGTCAGTCAATCCTCCAAAGGGTCATGACCCACAGGTTGAAAATCACTGCTCTAGAATTATCACCCTGTACCACAGGGGTTGAAAGAGGTCATAAACTCATGAAAAATATTTTGGGAAATATAAAATAAATAATTCTATAATAATCCCATGTCATTATTAATAGCTTTGTAATCTGCTTTCTGTACCTACTTATCCTTTGGAAACTTGATGCCCATGCTGCAGAGATAGCATAGTTCTATCCTCACATTGCAATACTTGAAGCATTGCAATACTTCTCTGTGCCATATGTGTTTTTTAAAACATGTCATCTTGATCACTGCTGGCTACTCTGTCTGATTAGTATACATATTTATTTGTCTTCTATTATCGAACAGTTATCTGCCTACTTTTTTTTTACTGTTCTAGATAGTACTTTGATTAGCATCATTAGGTACAAAGTCCTTATAGATTACCTCTTAAATTACACAATTCTTGTGGAAGCTTCAATGTCTTTATTCTATCTTTGTCTTGTTATTAATCTAACCTTTTGTTCTAAACTTCAAGATGGTATGATTCCCCTTCCACTTATTTGTCATGTTATTTTTCTTATTAGTCATATCTTTCTATAAATTAGCCACTAATTTCTGATATAGGAGTGATTAGTGCTGTATGTGAATACTTTACCTATAACTATACCATGAAAATGTTAACAAAACCATATAATAGGTAGAATAGCTCAGAGGAACACAGAGTTTGTAATGCAGTATCAATGGGAAGAGGAGGAAGTTTAGTATGCATAGAGACATTTCTGACTGTCGTTACTGCAAAAGGATGGGAGAGGAGGAGTTTTTACTGCCTTTTACTGGAGAGAAATCTCTAAACATCCTACAATCTAAAAGACTTTCTTCCCCTGCAAGAATAAATTATTCAATCCAAATGTCAGTAGTGCAGGGTTGAGACCCTTTCTAATCACAGGAATTTACTAAGTGTATGAGAAACTTCCCGAATATTAGTAATTAATTGAATTATCTCATAGTATCCTATAGATAATGCAGAGAAACAATAAGTTTGCCAGATGACATAACTCTTGAAGGATTACTAGTTGTGTGAGAAATTGTGCCTAAACATTACCAATGAACATTGCATCTATATAAGCATGCAAAAATAGTTTTTCTTGAACATTTATTTTAATGCTGTCCTGCTGAGGACTAACATTAGTGATGATCAGCCATGAGTAAAGAGCTTGAAGAGGTTGACAAGTGTATGTGCTGGCACAGGCATCTGGAACAATGGGGAGAATCAAACATAAAGAAGTTAATAGGAATAAATGTAAAGTCTTACATTTGGGCCCAGGAGTGAGCTGTACAAACACAGGATGTGGAAGGTTTGACTTAATACCGAATATATGAATTTTTTGCCTGATGGTTTTAGTTGAGGGTAAGTGTAGCATGAGTCAGCCTGGGGATGTGCCTGCCAAAACTTAATCCATTCTAGGCTGCATTACTAGAAGTTCATGTACAAAATGAAGAAACAATAATTCCTATTTTACACAGCTCACATCACACCTAGCCCAAGACTTTGTCTCACATAGAAAATGGGACATTCTACACTGCAGTCTGCATTTCTGAAAAGCACTGGAGGACCTGAGGAGGCTGAGCTGGGACTTTAGCTGGCTTCAGATACAAGAGACAATATATTTATTTACAACATCATTTTCATCCTATTTTACTTCAACTATTTGTCAACCTGTTAATTACTTACTTGAGGATACTAGTAGAGCATTATCTTAAGAGAAGCATTCTTTAGCTTAATAAAAAAGAAGCACCCCAAACATTAAAATGCACTATGAAACAGTGAGTTTGTTGACACTTGAAATGTCTAATAAGAAACCAATGACTAGATTTAGAAAAGATTAGTTCATCAAGTAAATATTAGAATTTTATTAACCTCAATCACTGATGTATTCCTTCCATGTCTTAATTATATGCACACATATTCAGATAAATAAAATATCAGTTCTTGCAAATGAAATACACCAAGCC